TCGCTCATAGCGCGCACCACATTGTGCGCACTCCTCGACAAACAGGTTGCCGTGAAGCTCGACCAGGGCGTGCTTCGGCAGCCCTGCCTTGCCATGCAGGGAGTCGTCATTTGTCGTCGCCACGAGAGCAAGCTTGCCGGCCTGGTACAGTCGAGTGAGAGCACCGTGGGCTGGAGTTGGTTCGATGCCTCGTAGGTCCAGCGATTCCGACACTGTCTCGCCGCGCACCTTGCGTGTCCAGATGCCACTCGGGCCCCGATAGTCTGGAAGACCACTTGACGTGCTGATACCTGCACCAGTGAACACAACCACGTGCGCAGCAGAACGCCACCACTGCGAAAGCACCGCAAGCTTGGCCGCAAGGTCCTCGGCCGAGTCACGGCGTATGCTGTCGAAGTCGGTCTGTGGGTTGTGTGAGCGCAGGTTGTCTGCGCAGTACTGCCGAAACTCGCGCTCGTACTCCTGGAACTCGGCGGAAGCGAACACGGAGTCCGATGCGGTGGCGGAGTCCGACGAGGACGCGTCCATGACGTTGAGGTGTCGTTGGACAGGAGCCAAAATATTGCGTTGGGCCCCCTGTGCGGCCCCCAAAATCTGAATGGAGTCGCTTCGCGGACTGTACCCGTCGGTTTCATCGGTTTCATTGACGTTTCACCGCCTGCTCCTCTGGCTCGTGCCCAGCCTCTCCTTCCGCTGCCGCCGGCCTCGCAGTCCCGCCTGCCATCACGCTGCAGAGCCTGCGTAGACGCCACAGACGCCAATTCTGCAGCCCACAGCCCTGGCAACTGAGGGCGAGGGCCAGCAGTATACGACGACGACGACATCTCACACCCCGCGCTGGCCAGCGCCATCAGCCCCTCACGGCCCGGCCCAACCTCCCTTCGCTAGCGCCATCGCCTCTCTCTGTTATTCACCTTTCGACAAATAGGAGACAATACTGCTGAGCCCTGAGCGCATGGCTGTGTGGCCTGTTGAGTTGACTCTCTCACTCACTCTATGGATCGCCTGTTCAACGCCACAAGCCAAAGTCAAGACTCTATCTATCTCATACGCTGGTGTTGCGCGCCGTGGACCTGCCTGTCGCCGTAAAGCGAGCGTGTGGCCCACAGCCCGCACGTGCCAAGGGCCATCAGTGTAACTTTCGCCAGCACGCACCACGGCGCGCGGACAAGCTGCTTGGGGCCCGGGTCGGCCTCGGCGCTCGCGCAGCAGGCAACGACCTCGGCTGGGAGGCAGAGAGCAACGCCGTTCCAGAAGCCCGTCCACACCGAGAGGCCCATCAGCAGCGCAAAGAGCGCCCGGCAGCCCCGCCGCGCGTCGGGCCTCGGAGCGTCGAAGTAGCGTCGCCGGCGGTTGCGCCTCGTTCTTGGCGGTGGTGTCGGCTGCGGCGTGGCGAGAGTTTCAGCCTCGTCGCTATTGGCTCGCGGGCCGGCGGCGCTCCACGCCGCAAGATGCGACCTCCACGCTGCGAGATGCTCCTCATAGCCCTCCTCCGCGTTGCCGGCCGCCGCGCCGCGCGACGCGGAGGCTCGTGTGGCAAGCTGCTCGCCGGTCCAGACGCGTGCGCCGCCGGCATCCGACGGCACTTCCACCTTGATCGATTCGAGCGACGTGTCGGCGCGACCGTCGGCGCGACTGTCCCTCAGCATCGCCTTGTCGTACATCGAGCGCGTCGCAAACAGTCCGAGGATCCCAACAATGATCTCTGCGGCACACCAGTACCACTGCGGCGGCAGCAGGATGTAAGTCAGGTTCCACCAGCCCATCCACAGCAAAACGGCCGACCCGATCGCCACGAGGGCCTCGGCGACGGCGCCCGGCTCGAAATAGCGCCGCGCGCCGCGCAGCCACCGCAGGCTCTGCTGTCTCGGCATCCCCGAGGAGTGGGGGGGAATGAAAGGGGGGATAAGGCCAAAGGCGCTGTCATAAAAAATACCAATACCGCCACATGGCAGAGTGTGTGTGTCATAGCTTAGGGGGCAGGTTGTGTTTTCCCGGCAGATCCCGGAAACTTCGCCTTTCCTCCATCTAGATTCGGACGAGTCGTCTAACATAGGCCCGATAGGGGTGGCACCCCTTAGTTTGCATACGCAGTTTGCATATGCAGCTTGCATACGCAGTTTGCATACACAGTTTGCATACACAGTTTGTATACGCAGTTTGTATACGCAGTTTGCATAAGTAGTGCACTGCTTGCGCGGCAGAATTCACCCGCCATGTTCTCGCCGGCCTATCCAACGCAGCGTCGTGATCGTGGTGCCGTAGGTTGTGGATACCCCAGTTTAGATTTGTGCAAGGGTACATTTGGGGGGCCAGGGGATAGTTAGGGGTTCGATGATTCATAGGGTGTATGAGTCATAGGATGTATGAGTCATAGGGTGTATGAGGCATAGGTAGGGGGGAAGGGGAGGGGTGGGCGTTCCCGAGCCGCACACACACACACACAGTGATTCACACACACACACACACACACACACACACACACACACACACACACACACACACACACACACACACACACACACACACACACACACACACACACACACACACACACACACACACACACACACACACACACACGACACACGCAAACACGTACGCGCACGCACACACACACACACACACGCACATGCGCACACACACACACGGGGGGAGGAGGGGGCACACACGCACGCCTGAGGACGCACGCACTCACGCACACGCACACGCACACGCACACAGATACACGCATGTACACACGCGCACGCACACTCGCAAGCACGCATGAAGACCGACCAGTCGACCGCTGACAACAGCGTGATCGTGGTGTTCCTCTCGCCTACGCCCCAGTGTAATGTCGTAGAAGGATGCCACGTCACCAGCAGCCCACACCCCGCTCCTGGCCTGTTTTCGCCCGGTGGGTGATTGCAGTGCCGCCAGGGCACATGCTCAGCACCGCGGTGCAATATGACCCATCCATCTATTTGCGCCGCCCCATTCAATGCTTGTCCTCTCCCCTGAATATGCACCCACTACCTAGACTCCTTGAGTGCCGCGCACCCTTTGACTCATACACCCTATGTCTCATACACCCTATGACTCATGCACCCTATGACGCATACACCCCTGCACCTACTACCTAGACTCCTTGAGCGCCGCGCACCCGAGTGTATGCGAGCGGAAAGCTATCAAGATCGGGCTTAGGACTCGAATGGACCAAGCAGCTGGGCACCGACCTCGAGCTCCGAGTTGACGGTGATTCCACCATGCAACTGTCCGCACAGCATGCACACAGTCAGCATGCACACAGTGAGCATGCACACAGTCAGCATGCACGCACGGTGATTCCGCCATGCAACTGTCCGCACAGTATAAGCAGTTAGCATACGCAGTTGGCATACGCATTTGGCATAAGCAGTTGGCATAAAACGTTCGCATAAGCAGTTGGCATAAGTAGTTCATATAAGCAGTCCGAATAAGCAGTTCACATAAGCAGTTCACCGGGGCAGGCGCCAGCCGTGGCGCCGCCGTCTGGCGCCGAGCGAATGCTGTCGTCCCGGTGAGGGTGCACTCGAGCTCGGCCGGTGGAGTTGCACTCCCCGGAGACAGAACTCGACACTCGAACCCGCACCACCACCAGGCAGACGACCGCCGCGAGGAGGGAAAGTCTGATCACGAGCCAGGGGCTGGAGAGGACCACGCAGCCGCAGTCAGGGTTAGGGACGACATCGTCAGCAAGGGTATAGGCGCCTTCCAACTCGACAGTCCACGGAGCTTTCCTCGCCTGCTCCGCAAAAAGGAACGACAGGAGCAGCATCATGTCTTGTGGCCAGCGGAGCACGACTGACATTGGGTCCTGCAAGAATTGAAGCGCATAAGGGTCTGCCGGATTGAGAAATGTTGTCGCATAAACAAAAAACATGGTGAAGTACGCGTCGCAGGCCGCGAACGCAAGTTGCCGCCCATAAGAGACGCAGACGAAGGATCGCTCGCGCACGATTGCCCAAGAGCCAGCCATGGCCAAGACCACTGGGAGATGGATACCTGATCCAAGACCGCTGTAGATCGTGTCGATGATGCTGTCGCAAATCGGCACCCCCCCGTACGCATTGATCGCCACCATGAGTGCTTCGGGCTGGATACTGATCACTATGAGAGTCACCCCCATCACAGCAGCATACACACGATGAAACAACCATCGCATAAAGTGCCGACGCGCGTCGGCAGAGCCGGAGGCAGCCTCGTCCTCTCCTTGCCGGACCACAGCAATCGCTGCGGCAGTCGAACGGAGATGGCTTCGAGGCAAACAAAAGAGCGCGACCAAGTTGTCGATGTACGTCATGAAAGTGATTGCGAGCCCATCGAGAACGAGGTCGGTGATGGTCTCGTCTTGCAGAAACAGGGCAAGGGTCGCACTCAGGATGTTGAGCGGCAAGATGAACAACCGCATGCGAAGAGACACCCACATGAGCGCCCGCAGGAGCGACCAGCGCGAGAGACCGCGGGTGCGCTGTTGGAAGAGGCTCTTCTCGAGCGCGGCTTCGTCCCAGTCCTCGGTCAGCGGGATCAGGATCAGCAGCGCTACGACGATGAGAACAAAGATGTGTCTCGTGGTGAGACGGCTCTGGCGCTTGACGATGTGGTCGCAGCGCATCGCGATGGTATCCGTGTTGTTGCAATACGCCGCGCCGTCGTGCTGCCATTTGTCGCCGCTCAACTCCTGCACCTCGTCGCCGTCAAACCACCCTGGCCCGACAGCGAAGCTCGTGTTGGCCCAAGGAAACTCGAGAAGGTTCGAGTAGTGGCAGTCGCCGCACACGCCAGGCGCCTCCGCGTGTAGTGGTCGCCGGTCGACAATGGGCGCCATAAAGCCCGCCGGGACGCACCACTCTCCGGTTGGGCAGTCCTGGTGGTCCGTGCACGACGAGTATGCCGACTCGTAGGCAACCGCCACCATAAAGTTCGACTGCACGGCCAAAAGCATGATTGACAGTATGAGCAGCGCGGCCGACACGCAGGGATTTGCCCCTGGAGCGGTGGCCATCACAACCGTCCACGAGTGAAATCCACCGGACAGCTCTTGCTCTGTGCGGGCGAGCGGTCGCTCAAGGACGCGCCTCAGATACCAAGCGGAGGGCTCCGGATCAAGCGATGGCCGCCCAAGCTCCACGCCGTCGTCTGTGGTGTCGGTGTCAGTCAAGCGCCGGTGTGGCCGCCCAAGCTCGACGCCGTCACCTGTGGTGTCGGTTTCAGTCAAGCGCTGGCGTTCACCGCTGTCCGAAGACCAGGTACGCAGAATTGAGAACATCAGACTGCTCGGGCAGCCTGAGCAAGCAGCGCGAGTGCACCCAACCTCCTAGGCCCAACCCCTATACCCCCCAGAAAAAGAATTTCGAGCCCAGACTTCAAAACAAACTCTCACCAAACGCGGGTCTCGGGCTCGAGGCAACGGGGCTGGCACGCACTGGCACGCACACCAGTAAAAAGAATTTAAGCGGATTTTCGTTTCTTTCACAGAGCGTCGGGGCGGACAGGTGGTTGGAAGTCTGAGCTGTCGCATCGTGGACTTCGAAGATCTTGCCGGGAGAAATGCCCTCCGGAACTAATGCAACCATCGTGCGATGCCCGAATTCTCCTACCGCAACCGCATCAACTGCTGCCTCCACATCGGAGCGAGAGATATTCACATCGGTGGCCACAGCAGAGTCCAGAGACCGCGGAAGCTGACGCCTTGGCATGGGCGGGCAACAGGGTCGCGTGGCAAGGCCGGCGAGTGAATTTCCTTGCCTCGCGCTTCGCCTTTGCCGCCTCCGCCTTCTCGTCCTTCGATATGTGCCACCAACTGCCCGATACGGGATAGGACTGTGTGCGCATGCACGAAGAGGAGCTCAGGTTGGAGGCAGCTCGGCGCCGCACCGGCAGGCTGGCGGCCGACAGCACGTTTGTCGTGATGGGCGCCGCCGCGAGCGCGGACTGATAAGCCCCGACGAGCGGCGGCAGCGTGAGCGCTGCTCCGCCGCGGAGGCGGTGTGCCGCGGCGAGGCCGTGGCAGGAGGTGAGCGGGAGGAGGTGGAGGAGAAGGCCGAGTTGCATGGGAGTTCTCTGTGGTCTCTCCAAGTAAGTGCACAATTAACACTATGGACGTAGGAACATGCCGCGTACACGGCTCTCTACCGTCGGTGCTGCCTGCCCGGACTCTGGCAGCACCGGCGGTCCGTCCGTGTTCTCGTTCTGGTCTGCCGATGTTCCGGACTCGCCCCCGGTTGTCGGACTGCTGCCTGCCCCGGACTCTGGCAGGTGGCAGCACCGGCGATTCCTGAATGCCCGAGGCCGGGAAGCGCTTTGCGTTTTGCTTCTCGACCGCATCCGGGCACACGAACCCCTCTTTCCCGATCGCGCGCCAACTCGTCAAGCGCGGCCATAGCGTCACGTACCTCTCAAGCGCGGTCTTCAAGGGCGCTATCGAGGCGACCGGCGCCGCCTTCGTTGACGAGGTTGAGGAGCTGAGCGAGCTTATGCAGCCGGATCCGGCAAAGCCTCGCGCAGAGAACTTTATGTCCGCCTTTCTGGCGCTGGCGACAGAGTTCGGGAAGGACGCGGCTCACGGGTATGGGAATATTAAGCAGTGGGCTGCCACGCACAACATTGCAATCGAGCGCCAACTCCCTGCCTTCCTCCGCTTCTTTAGCGAGGAGAATGGCGCGCTCAAATTTGACGCTGCGGTGTACGACAACCTCATGCTGGGCGTTGTCGCCCACGCCTGCCGACTCCTCAACCTGCCTGCGGTGGCGTTGTGCACAGTCGCGGGCCCCGGTTCGATGGAGGTGCTCACGAGAGAGATGGCCAGCAACGAGGGCATGACCCTCGAAGACATGGACAGGCTCTCGTTTGACGACGAGGACGGCGCCAAGGCCGTCGCGCGATTGCGCGAGCGGTACCCCAGCCTCGAGCTCCCCAGTCATCCCTTCTCGTGCGGCACCTGGCAGTATATCGGCGGGCCTCGGGCGATGACTCTCGTCACCACCATCGAGCCGCTCCGCGACCCTATCAGCGACAACGTCTCGGAGGCTCTCCGCGCGGCGGACGTTCGCTTCACGTACATCGGCCCGAGTCTGGACGTCAAGGGGGCCAAGCGGGCTGGCGGCTTCATCTTCGACGCGCACAACGAGGAGCCGGAGGACGATGAGCCCAAGCTCCACCGACATCGCTCGGACCTGACGGATTCGAGCGACGCGCCGCTCGCCGCTCTGCAGGAGGCGAAGCAGCTGAACGCCTCGGTCGTCGCGATCTACATCAGCCTCGGGACCGTCATCACGTCCGACATGCGCGCGCGTCCGGTGTCACCACACGTCCAGCAGCTCGGGGATACCCTGTCCACTGTGCTACGCCTCCTATAGGCCAATGTCGGGCTGGACGGCGAGGCTCACTGACGCGGAGGGTAAGGAGTACGGCATCACTGGGAAGCAGCTCTGCCAGAGCGTCTTCACAGCAGCTTTTGAGGAGTTTGGCGCCAGTGAGCGCGGCGAGGGCCGGAGCTCGTACGCGCAGGCGTGCGAGGAGGGCGCGCCACTGCTGATTGTGAGCGCGGGCCCCCAGTTGGACGCGTTGGAGGGCCTCTCCGTTCCGCCCAATGCGCTCTGCCGTAGTTACGTGGCGCAGGTGGACATCCTCCAGTCGGGCCTTGTGGACATGTTTGTGACGCACGGTGCGCGACAGCAGAGATAGCGGGGAGCGCCATCGCCACTCCTTGCACCGAGCGGGAGGGGCCTTCGAGACTGAGAGCCCACCGCGTGGCCCGCTGCACTGAAGGTGGCCAGAACTCCTTCATGGAGAGCATGGCGAACGGCGTCCCGCTGGTGGTTGTCCCGGGCTTTGCCGACCAGCCTGTCAATGGCCGAAAAGCGGAGGCGATGGGGGTGGGTCTCGCGGTGGCAAGACCCGAGGAGGATACCGAGGCTGTGTTGGCAAGGTACGTCCAGGACCTCCGCGCGGCGATGCGCAGCGTCTTTGAGCAGGAAAAGTTTCGTGCCAAGGCACGAGAGATGGGAGCGCTGATCGCCGGCGCGGGCGGATCTGCGCGGGCGGCAGACATCGCGGAGGCGATCGCAGCGACGGCGAGAGGCAGCGAGACTGCGGCGGCGAGCGCCACAGCGCCGAGGAAGTCCTATGGGGACATGTTTCGAGAGATGTCGGCGCAGGCCGAGGCGGAGGCGAGCAAGTGAGAATGGGGAGGGGTACTCGTTGATTGTCGTCGATAGGCCACGAAGCCACCTCGAGACCTCGAGAGAAAGAGACGGCAATCGTGGAGGCTGGAGCCCTCTCGTCGTTTTTTCTCCTGCCCGCTGCCGCACCCTCGGCTAGCTGTTTATATGATCGACATCGTCCTCACATCTCTCTCTCACCATTCTGTGACGCGCGGCGCGCCTCTGCGCTCTGGGTCGGGTCGCCCCCTGCGCCCCGCCCCCCGGGCCACGGGTGGCGGCCGTGCCACGGCCCGCGCCCCCGAGCGCCCGTGCGCCGTGGGCGGCCGCCGTCCCCCGTTGCCCAGTTTGCGATTATCATTAACTTCTTTTTTCTGACCCCATCCGCGACTGACCCCATCCGCGAAGCGCGATGTGCGGACATGCGGTTATGCGAGACGTGTAGACCACTCGCACGCCCATGCGGCGCAGACGTCTGAGACAACAGGTACTGGGCATCGCCCGATTTCCGCAAATGCTGAGCCAAGGGCAAGGGGCGTGCCGGTGCGTGTCCCCGCAAGCCGCAAGCAGCGGCGGCGGCCGGGCGCTGCAGTTGTCGCAGACAGCCGCCTTCCGCTGACGGCCGCGCTCACATCTCCGCAAAAACCTCGTCGATCAGAAACTCGTCCCCGCCGTCGCCCTCGTCGCCGCCGTCGCCAAGCAACGAGAGCAGCGGGTCGCTGGCGGCCGCGCTGGCGCCGTTGACTGGCGGCGGCGGCGGCGCGAGCGGCGGCGGCGCGAGCGGCGGCGGCGGCGGCGGCGGCGGCGCGAGCTGCTCGGAACTGGCTCGCTGCTCTCGCTGCTCCTCCGCCTGCGCCTCCCGCTCAATCACCTGCCGAGGCACGGCCGAGACAAAACCAAGATGCGGCCGAGATGCGGCCGAGATGCGGCCGAGATGCGGCCGAGATGCGGCCGAGATGCGAGGGCCGAGACTCGGTCACCTCCTCGATGCGGGCCTCGGGTGATCTCGGGGTGATCTCGGGGTGATCTCGCTTGATCTCGCGGTGATCTCGCGTCACCTCCTCGATGCGGGCCTCGGGTGATCTCGCTTGATCTCAGGGTGATCTCGCTTGATCTCGCGGTGATCTCGCGGTGATCTCGCGTCACCTCCTCGATGCGGCCCACGAGTGTCTTCTTGGGGCCCGAGAGGGCAGCGTCGCGGTAGTAGAGGAACGACTTGAGCTCCTTGACGCTCAGCGAGTCGAGAGAGCCGTCGCGCGCCTGCGCCGCGGATGCGCCGAAGTCGCAAGTGCGGCCCCACAATCTCCCACAAATCTCCCACACTCTCCGAGGTCGCAAGTGCGGCCCCACAATCTCCCACAAATCTCCCACACTCTCCGAAGTCGAGAGTGCGGCCCCACAATCTCCCACAAATCTCCCACACTCTCCGAAGTCGAGAGTGCGGCCCCACAATCTCCCACAAATCTCCCACACTCTCCGAGGTCGCAAGTGCGGCCCCACAATCTCCCACAAATCTCCCACACTCTCCGAGGTCGCAAGTGCGGCTTCCGTGCCGCGTACGCCGTAGCACCGCGTGAACACGAGGCGTATCTAGTCGCGATCTGCCGGCGTGCGTATGAGCTCACTAGCTGGAGCTCGCACTAGAGGCCGTCATCGCACTCGCCTTCCCGGGCCCAGCCCTTCCTTTCTGTCTTGTGCCCTGTCTCGGTCTTTCCGTGGAGAGAGGGCGTCCTCGCATTCGCCTCCCTGGGACCCAGCAGCGCTGACTTCTGACTGCCGCCGCTGTCTCTCTCCCTTCTCGACTGCCTGTGCTTGTGCGTCGTGGGTCCGGGGTTGTGTTTGTGCGTGACCACGCGGGGTGCCGGGTGCGAGTACAGGGAGGAGGGCTTGGGCCACGGCGACAAGGCGGCCGAAGACGTGCGTCTCGACGCTGGTACAATCCGTGCGGGCTCCCCTCCTAAAGCGAGATCTCCCCATATCTCCCCTCCTAAAGCGCCGCGCCTTGCCTTGCACATCCAAGCTGCTCACATCGACCAGCCAGGCCGGCGGCAGCCCCCCCCGCGTGCGCCGCTGCTTGACTCCCTTCGGAGCGCGCGACGGGCCGCCGTACCTACGAGGAGGAGATATGGGGAGATATGGGGAGATATGGGGAGATATGGGGAGATATGGGGAGAGATGGGGAGAGATGGGGAGAGATGGGGAGATATGGGGAGAGATGGGGAGAGATGGGGAGACCTAGATTGTGGAAGACGCCAGCCTCGGGGCGGGAGGACGGCCTTGTGCAGAGTCCTCAGGGCACCGCGTGAGTACGAGGGAGGCGAGGACAGTGAATTCAGCGGAGTGCGGCGGAACACAGCAGAGCACGCGGTCCCGCTAGTCGGAGTACAAGCAGCACGACGACGTGGGAGATTGTGGGGAGATTGTGGGGAGATTGTGGGGAGATTGGCTTCTAGGGCGCCGCACGACGACGCGCCGGTCGCGTAGTAGGCGGTGGGCGCGGGCAGGTCGAGCCCGCGCGGCGGGGGCGGCGGCGAGAAGTACTTTAGCTCCTTGGACTGGCCCTCCCCCAGCAGCTTTGTGAGCTCGTCCAGGTCGAGCTCGGCGCCTACGCGTTTCTTTTTCTGCTCCCGTGAGGGGAGGGGACGAGCACACGCAAGGCGGCGCGCCGCGCTCGGCGCCTGCTCTCACACAACACGGACTGCTCTCAGCGCACCACACCCTCGCCTCCCTATCGTGCAAGGGAAAGGAGGGGGGGCGTGGGTAGTCTTCTCCTTACATAGTTCTAGG